GTGTGTGTGTGTGTGTGTGTGTGTGTGTGTGTGTGTGTGTGTGTGTGACACGCACTGGAGTGGAGGGAGCATGCCATGGCTCTTATGTTCAGGTCAAAGAATAATATGAAGAATTCTATTCTTTATTTCTATGTGAGTTCAGGCATGGAAATCAGTTCATCAGGCTTGATGGAGAGCACTTTTACCTGATAAGCCATTTTAAAAGACATGGAGGAAGGCCTGATACTGTGTATAGTTTCCTCAGCAGTTATCCTGAACTTTGCCTGCTGTGCCCCACAGTAATGATTTCAGTATACCTATGTGAGGCCCTGCAAAGACAGAGAGCAGGTCCCTTTCTTCCCCTCTATGCTGCCAACCAAGAAGGTAGAGGAAACTAAACAGAGAATAAAAAAACCATGTCTGTAGTTCTTATGAGATGAGAGAGTAAAGATTACTAGAAAAGTGGAGCGGATATAAAAAGTAGTCACCTTTCACAAAAATAAACAACAAGTTCACCAGCAAAGCTTAATTCTGATTTTACAAATACACTGTTTGGTAAATGATAAAATATTATATAAAAGCAATGTTCAGGAATGTTTTAGAATTAGATGATTTTATGCTAAGGATGATTTTACCTAAGTTTTCTCATAGTAGCTGCTGAGGAATTGTACCAGCTGTAAACACAATATTTAGATAGGGTAAAATTTTGAATAGTTGTTTAGTTTGTGGCTATCCTTGAGGTCTAGATGCTATTTATTTGCATTGATAGACCTTGTTGTTTTACTACTACTATAGACCTTTGTTGTTTTACTACAATTTTGTGTTTTCACCTTAAATATTCCTGTTTTATTCTTCTAATTGTATTTTTTCTATATTGTTCAGCAGAAATTGCAAATGCCTCTTTGTTCTGAATGTGAAGAGAAAAAAGGCCCAGAAAAGCAAACAGCCAGTTTTGATGGGACTCCAGCTAAAGAAGAGAAAATACTGTAAACAGGAGGCATGGAATCAAAAGCTCCCCTTTCCTGCCATCATCATATTTCTAGAGTACAGGCTTGATGGGAACACCACGTTTCTAAAGCATGCAACTTTTTTCCAAACTTTATGTAACTTTATAATGTGAACTACACAATTTCCAAAAGGTTCCAGGCTGATTATGAACTTTAGCAATAATCTAATGAAAAGGATTTCTTCACTCACACATCTCTAAAATTAGCCAGTACAAATTGATTTGTTTTGTGCTAAAGCACAACCATAACTTTTTTTTTTTTTTTTGGTCTTTGCATGGATATCTAGAATTCAAAGGTGGACTTGGTAACATCAGCTAGAAAATGATAAAATATGAGCCCTGCTGTTTTTAAAAATCTAAATTTCAAATGTATAAAAGTTTTGTTGTACAATGGCCATCTGGTGTCGTTTCCTCCAAAGTTGGAATTTGCAGACCAGAATACATTATTTTAGGTATTTAGTTTTTTGTCACATTATATTGACCTAATAATCATTGATATAAAATTATGTCCAGTTAATTCTGTCAATGATAAGTTAATTACTAGAACTCATTAGTTGTATTTAATATGATACATACACACAGAATTTTTAGAATGAATAAAAAATACCTTTCATAATATCTTTTAAATTTTTTATTTTTTTTAATTTTTATTAATTACACTTGATTCACTTTGTATCCCCTGTGAACCCTTCCCACCTCCCCTCCCACTCTCCCTCCTCCTTCTCTACGCATGCCCCTCCCCAAGTCCACTGATAGGGGAGGTCTTCCTCTGCTTCCTTCTGATCCTAGTCTATCAGGTCCTTTGTGCATACTCTCTGATATTGTTTCAAGATGTGACTCAAGCTGTCTGAAGTGCCAGCTTTAATGGGTGATAATATGGGAAGGAAATCCTAAAATATTAACAGATAAGGTGCACATAGATATTTTAGAATGGCCGTTTAATGAAGGCAAAATAACATGGAATAATTTTTAAAAAGCAATGATGTTTTAGCTTTGAAGATAGGGTTCTATATGAGAATTTCACTGATCAAAAGAGCCAAACATTGGCACAAGTATAGCATAACTCATAATCAAGAAAAAATGGATATATAAATGATTATATATTCAAGCATCCACTTAGCAGATAAAAACTAACCAACAGATGACATCAGGGAACCTACACTGACTGAGTTCATTCACTTTTGTTGAATAAACACATTTTGAAAGTTCAGAAAAAAAGATAAAACCACTGTTTGTATACAATTAATCTGTCAAGCCCCAATAAACACCTTGAGAGAATATATCCCAAAATAAAAGCACATTAAAAGAAATTGGTAGGACTTAATTTATAGGATTCAATGTAGTATATTCAGAGAAATTTATTGAGCTCTAGAATTGAATAAAACCATTAACAGAAAAAAGAAAAGCATCATACATTAATTCTAAATGCAGACTAGTTTTGTGGATTTTTCCTGTATTATCACTCTTAAAAAGAAACATAAATAATTTATAGATTCATAGAATTTTAGATGAACTGACCATGATTAAATATAAGATTGGGGTATGAAATTTCTACTCACCACGTACTCAGTTCCATCTTACCCCACCCCCAGTTTTATATAATATTTTATTTTCTTTACAAAATAATAGGTTTATTTATAATTTCTATTTCTTTTTCTTTTTGAAGCAAATTCTCATATGTATCAAGTTAGGCTCAAAATTACTACAAAGTAGAGTACGAACTAGAATTCCTGCCTCCACTTCCCAAGTGTCAGGAGTTTCAGCCACTCACCACCTCCACAGTAATGAAAAAAGTACTAGTTCAATTTTAATTTGGTATTGCCTTTCTACTCTTATTAGCGCATTTATTTCCTCCTCACCCCCGTGTTTGCCACAGAATGGTAGGCACATGTTGTTAGCAAGCTGTGAACAGCTGTGACTCTGTGTAGGAATAAACTGGATAAAGAGTTCTAAGTTTGACCAACCGTGTTTTCCAATTGTGTATTTTGTCGGCTTTGACTTTCTGTTCTAGAATGTGATAATATAATCAGTTTGCTTTTCTTTACTCTTGGAATGATAAAATGGGTTTGAATCAAGATGGTAAAATTTCCTCCTAAAATGTATACATTGTGTATATCTTGTGTATCTACAGGTTTTGTCTAGGTGTCTGTCATAACATTTACTCCTGTATTTGAAAGAAATAACTTAATAGCAAGGGATTTTTTCCTAATCATTTAAAAAGGAACATTACAAAATTTCATTTAATAGTTTGATAGGGATATTTTTAATATGATTTGAGGTTCTTATTAATTAATGTGTTTTATCCCTCTTAGCTCTTAGCCCTTTCCTTGCTTTGAGACTGGACCAGAGATATTAAACTATTTTCCTTACCCATATGGCTACTCTATGAAAAAAAAAACATACATCTGTAATGAGAGTTTTGGTTTCTTTAAAACCTCAGTTATGTTATGTAAACATGTTTTTGTTTTAATCCCAGGTGTAGGATAGCTTTAGATGGTCCACAGGAGCACTCTCTTTGCTCTGAGAGGGCAGTGATCTTTGCCAGCTGCAGACAGTTTACTTCTGGAAACTCTGAGAGGGCATAAATGCCAGAGCCCAGAGAGGGACAGTGGTTCTTAAAGGAAGAAGACAGCTGCTGCTCCCCTTGCTGTTCCTGGTTGCTGTGGCTGCATTTTGGTGAGAAGCTGGAGATCTACTGAAACAAAGATTGAACTTGCCCTGAGGAACTTGATGACCCTAAACAGTGAGAAGTAGCTAATGGTAACTACACCTCTCCCCGAAGTAACCTTTCTCTCCTACCCAGTGTTGGGGTGTTGGAAGGGATTGGGGTGGATAAGGGAGGTAGAGACATAAGGAACCCCAATAAAACAAAGTATGCCTACATGCATCTCCTACTTTTCTTAACTACCAGCTTTATGCTAGACATTGTTTGAAGAACTAACATTAAGACACTGATCATTCTCACACAGAAAGAATATTATCTAACATATTGACAATACGTGGTGTGATTCTGTTATATACTTGCAGTGTTAAGTGAAGAAATACAACTAGATTTTATACACTGTCCACTGATTACTGTTGAGGACACTCCCATACTTTCTAATGGAAGAACATATTTAATACGTCCTTCCACAACTAAGAACAATTTTCTCTATTTTATAATATAATAATAATAATAATAATTCGATTTAAAATGTGAATTAAATACAATGTATTCATTTGTAAATTAGAAAACTTTTTTAATTTTGTCTTTCCTTTTATGTACATAAATTATTTTCAATTAACCAGTGCCTAAGATCTGTGAGGCCTGAATGAACACTGGCTGTGTCTATCAAATAAGACATGCCCAGAAGAGGATGGTGTCAGTCATTCGTCTGGATAAAGATTTCATTATAATTTCAAATATCTGAGTGCTGAAAATACCAGTAGCTGACTCTGTTTCTGTCTTTGAGCAGCTGATTAGCATAGCATTCTGCTTTTACTCACAATTTTGTTTCATAAAAATACACTGAATTACAAGCTCAATACAGTTTGGTGTTTTTGATTTTGTATTGGTTTTTTTTGTGGAGCAGACATTTGCTGTTTTAGATGGACCAGGTGTTTAGCTGGACTAAAATTAAATTTGTGAATTTGCTATAAGGGAATCTTTTATTTTTATAGCTCCAGTAATGTCATTAGCACTAACCGCCGCACAGGTAGAAATAATAATTGGCACCATAGACTAGCAAGAGCAATGAACATGATGTTTTTGTTTTTGTTTTTTTACATGGAGAACTGTACTGTCAAAAGGTCTACATCCACGAGCTCTGTACTGATCTGGATTGTGTCACATAATGGTCAAGTACTGAAAAATAAAAAGTGCTAAAAAGTGGCCTGTTTTTCTTCAATAAAAAATTTGTTACAAAGATCATAGTGTATTTTACCTTATGCAAACTGAATGGAACAGCAAATACTGGCCTGCCTCTGTATAAAAAACCCATGGAGTACTTTGAAATATCGTACTGGAAGCTTCTTTAATTTCTTTGACAATTTCTCAGAGATAGTGTATGTTATTCGGTGTATTTAAAAAGTATCACTCATGATGTTGGGACTTAGACCTTTTAAATTATTATTAATATTTATTGGTTTTGTTTACATTTGACAAAGGGGGATAATTTGGTACTTGAGGCAGTCATCAAATAATGAATGACTACTGCAAGCTTCGTGGAGAGCACCCATAAATTTTGCGAGAATTAACAAAGCCTGAAGTAGTAGGAATGATCAATGGAAAGAAGGAGGAGCATGTGCTGCCATGAAATACAGACACAAGCTTTTACTGAGAGAAAAAACACATTTTATGTTTGTTTCTGTTCTTTAGCCTGATATTCTATCTTTCTGGAAGGACAATTGGTGGCCTTATTTGTGGCTTTAGTCAGGATGGCCACAGTGTAACTTGCAGGTCAATGTGTTAAGCATATGATGACACACCATTTACTGATAGAGATATTTTCTAAGATTTGCATTGTCCTGGCTAGCTTTATGTCAACTTGACACACACTGCAATCACTGGAAAGGAAGGAACTGCAACTAGGAAAATGCCTCCATAAGACCAGGCTATAGGCAAGCCAGTACAGCATTTTCTTAATTAGTGATTTGTGGGCCAGGCCATGGTGAGTGGTATCATCCCTGGGCTGGTGGTCCTGGTTCTATAAGAAAGCAGACTGAGCAAGTCATGTAAACAAGCCAGTAAGCAGTGCCCTTCCTTGTCCTCTGCAATAGAGCCTGTCTTCAGGTTCCTGCCCTGTTTGAGTTCCTGTCCTGACTTCCTTTCATGATGAACAGTGCTATGAAAGCATAAGTCAAATAAACCTTTTCCTCCCCAACTTGCTTTGGTCATGGTGTTTTACCACACCTATGTTAACCCTAACCTAGTCAGAAGTTGGTACTATGATTACGGAGTATTGCTGTGACAGACCTCACTATGTTGTTTTGGGGAGGATTGTGGAAGGACTTTGGAACTTTGAAGTAGAAAAAGCCACTGAATGTTGATAGCTCAGTGAACTGTGCTATATGAACTTGGACTGGGGGCAGGTAGGGACAGGCTCAGGAGGGATCAGGCTGGAGGAATGAATGGAGAGAGTGCAGGGAGAGAGCAGGAACTGGAGAGGCTTTGGTGGGTAGTGTGGAAACCTAGTGCAGTGGAAACTTCCTGGAGTCTGTGAGGGTGACCTTAGTGAGGACTCCTGGTTATGGAGGATAAAGAGTCTAAACTGACAATCTCTTATAGCCAGGCAAGGCTTCTAGTGGCCTGACTGGGTTGCATTCATTTAAGTTGTTGGTCAAGGGGTCTGGTGGAGATCCCCAAACAACCCAGTCTGATGCTAGGACATAAACTCACTCTACAAAACCTGGGGGAGGGGGCATTGCAGAGGACAACATCCACACAGTGACTTGAATTTAGGGAGCTCAAGCTGGTATCTGCGTGAAGCCTCCCCCCCCACACACACACACATTCTAGTTTCTGGCATGCGGGAAGGCACTCCGCAGTCTACTGAAAGGGAACCCTGGACAACAACCCAAAGCCACAAAACCC